GATAAATTTGGACAAAAATCTAAAAACTTATTTTTGTTGCTGCCTTATAATGATTTTACTCCGAATACCATGGAGATTAACAACATTTATGTGCATATGTTACAGGACAAATGATAAAGGGATATTGACAACCACTCAAAACAACACAATCTCGAGACACCATGCCACAACATTACTACAATACTTATCAAGACAATCAAGGAATTCCTTCAAATTTGTTACCATAGAAATCCCTGAACATCAATACTGTCATAGAAAGATAAACCATATTTCATTCTGTCCATTAATAAAATTGACAACAAAAGTCTCTTTGCATTTATTTGATCAAACAGCAGTCCATCAGTGGTGATAATCGGCTATCGGTAATGGCGATTGATTAGACCAAACATTACAAACACAATCTAAATCATCATCTAGGACCAAATATCGTGTTACATATTTCAAAGGTGGCGGATTTGTTTAATGGAGCTCGGCTTTTATCACAAGTGTCAGTGAGCATCGTGTTACCGTGACAATCAGTTCTTACAATACACAGCCTATGTGAGCTTTGTTTCAGATGCAGGGATGTCATAACAACATGTATTCCCTTTGAACAACTCAGGTTCTCAACGATATTAGTTACATTTCATACAATCAGATTAAAAAATGTTTTGATAACAACTGAAAACTGAAACGGATTGAAGAAATAAATAGTGTCCAAAATCACATTAATGCCATGCCTTTTATAGCAGCTATTGTGTATGATTCATTAATGTTCTTGAGTGAGTGAGTATGGTTTTACGCCGCTTTTAGCAATATTCCAGCAATATCACGACAGGGGACACCAGAAATGGGCTTCACACAATGTACCCATGAGTCTTCGGCGTGACGAGCGAACGCTTTAACCACTAGGCTACCCGACCGCCCCTTCTTCCAAGGATATACAATGGACCTGCTATTACGGAATCTTCAGGACATCAAATTTCAGACACGTTGCTGAGATAATGGTCTCTGTTTATGACAATGGCATAAACTACTGATACACAGGAAATGTAATTTAAATATTTATTTTTTAAAACAAAATCAATCTTTACATCTCTTGCACATAATGAGATATTCTGTAACCATATCTCATGTTTTGGTTGGTTTGATGTTTAATTCCACACTCACCAATATTTCAGCTTTAGTCAAATAATGGAGTCTGGACCAGACAATCCTGTGATTGACATCATGCAGGCAGCCAAGTCAATGAGCCTTGCCATTTACTCGCCTGTCATTGATTGCTGGGGATCTATTTAGAACCCAGAATTCCCACGGTCAAACAAGCACATGAACCACTGTGCTATCCCCCAACACATGCAATTACCATGGAAACAGGAGGAGGCCTTAGATCTAAACCGTGTCAAGTTGGGAATCAAACCCAGGACTAGTGAAGGACAAACAAGCACATGAACCACTGTGCTATTACCAAGAAATGAAGCAGGTTTGAGATCTATACACAGGAGACGCTCCTTAACTCCTTCTCCTGATAAAGCATCCTAGCCCCACTTAAAACATATTAATTCACACATCAATAGTGGACGAGGTCTATTTCTGACTGACAATTAGCTCACTTCCTCTGCGCGATGAAATCACCATATTGGAAAATACACAGGACGTTTCAAATGACACTTACAGTATATCAATCAAAAGCATGCAACATCATGAAGAGTTTTTTCAGCCTGTGAACGAGGCATATCCCTTCCATACCAGTGGAGCATAAGTGCTCTCTGTTCCTCCATCAAGGGCCCTCATTACTCCTACCAAAGCTTTTGCTACAGAAAAATTATTCCCCATTTTCAAATGGAAAACAATAATTGTGACAGCTATCCTCTTCACCCAAAGAGGGACAGTTAAACTAACTGTTGTGTTTCATGGAGTGGAAAGTATTGACAGTTGAAGCTAAATTCACTGAAATGGCATCAAAGTCGCTCTTGATGGATATGAAAAAAACCCAGCTATGATAAAAGCCAAAAAAATGAATTCGAACAATTTCCCTTTCATACATTGACCGAATCCAATTGCTTTTTTGACAGTGTGTAAGCTGATGGTGTTTTTGATCACTTCATTTGTTTGCAATTATATAGTGGTTGTATGAAAAATCAAAATTGGAACAAGTTAAAATGTCATATTGTACATCAAAAGCGTTTCAAGGGACAGATTCTATGAAAGTTCAAAGAACTATGTTTTTGGTGATAATTTAATTTCTAATCTTTTAAATGAGGGTATTAGAAAATATTTCGATATTTGAACTTGGCAGGTAGCCAATATTAAAATGAATACTCTTTAAAAACACAGAACTGCACTTTTAGAAATTTGCTATTGCAGCTGTATCAGCCAATCAACGAAATCATGTGGGTCCATCTCTATCACCACAAGCCAATTCCTAGTAACTGCATTACCCCCCCCACACACACACACACACACCCCCCGCTCCTCTTAGAACCTCCCACACCCAGATACCACTCAAAGTGTGTTACTCACACCCACCCCTCCCGACCAATACACCTCCCTACCCCCTCTCATGCACAGACCCTCCCCCCCTTGCGCCCCTCACACCCACCCCTCCCGACCAATACACCTCCCCACCCCCTCTCATGCACAGACCCTCCCCCCCTTGCGCCCCTCACACCCACCCCTCCCGACCAATACACCTCCCCACCCCCTCTCATACACAGACCCTCCCCCCCTTGCACCCCTCACACCCACTGCTTATGCCCAATACACCTCCCCACCCCATCTCATGCACAGACCCTCCCCCCTTGCACCCCTCACACCCACTGCTTATGCCCAATACACCTCCCCACCCCCTCTCATACACAGACCCTCCCCCCCTTGCACCCCTCACACCCACTGCTTATGCCCAATACACCTCCCCACCCCCTCTCATGCACAGACCCTCCACCCTTGCACCCCTCACACCCACCGCTTACGCCAAATACACCTCCCCACCCCCTCTCATGCACAGACCCTCCACCCTTGCGCCCCTCACACCCACTGCTTACGACCAATACACCTCCCCACCCCCTCTCATGCACAGACCCTCCACCCTTGCACCTCTCACACCCACCGCTTACGCCAAATACACCTCCCCACCCCCTCTCATGCACAGACCCTCCCCCCCTTGCGCCCCTCACACCCACCCCTCCCGACCAATACACCTCCCCACCCCCTCTCATGCACAGACCCTCCCCCCCTTGTGCCCCTCACACCCACTGCTTACGCCCAATACACCTCCCCACCCCTTCTCATACACAGATCCTCCCCCCTTGCGCCCCTCACACCCACCGCTTACGCCCAATACACCTCCCACCCCTTCTCATACACAGATCCTCCCCCCTTGCGCCCCTCACACCCACTCACCCATGCCCTTACCACACACACACCCTTAGAAAGCACATATCATTCACAAAACCTCCCTCCCCCAGAAACTGCTCCCTCTTACAGGACACAGTCTCCGCGAGAACAACCCAAATCCATAAAGTACCCCAAACTCTGCATCCTCCTCCTCCAGTGGCGATTGTAGGGAGCTTCAGCCAGTTACATCATCCGTCAACACTCACAGTTACATAACCGACAGCTGCTGGTTGCAGCATGTACAAGCTGATTACGACTACCTTATCTAACATGGCTCCCTCTAATTACTGTTAGGTCCAAGCAAGGCATACTTCATTGTGTAATTTGTGTTAACAAGAGCAGGAGTGATTTTGACAAGTTTGAGTGGCGGAGCTGTGTGACACTGACAGGGGTATCGGACAATGCAATTACTGGAACTCTTACAAGATATTAAGCCTTTTTTGCTAATTTGCTACACTGTTGTGCAATTAGCAATGAGAAGTGGTACAATGACACATTTGACACTTTGTTAGCTAACTGGTATGAGGCTGTCATAAATGTCACAGTTATTCCCTACTGAAATTAATCAGTTTAACACTGCAGCATTAGTGCTAGATCTCCCAAGGTGTGACATTTGTACTTTGAAACAAAAATACAATACCAGGCTCATATCATAATCCGATGATTACTCCTGGGTTTTCAAAAACATCTATAACATATCTATATTCATCTATATTCATCTATATTCATCTATATTCATCAAATCATATCACATAGTCCTACGCTAAGAAAAGTTTGGATTGGAGAGGGGGTAGGAGAAGGAATGGGTAGTACAGGTGGGAGAGGAGGTGGGAAAGGGGGTGGGTAGTAGGGGTGGGGGAGGGGTGGGAGAGGTGATGGGAGAAGGGGTGGGAGAAGGGGTGGGAGAGGGGGTGGGTAGTAGGGGTGGGGGAGGGGTGGGAGAGGTGATGGGAGAAGGGGTGGGAGAGGGGGTGGGAGAAGGGGTGAGAGAAGGGGTGGGAGAAGGGTGGGAGAGGTGATGGAAAAAGGGGTGGGAGAAGGGGTGGGAGAAGGGGTGGGAGAGGGGGTGGGTAGTAGGGGTTGGAGGTAAGGCTGTTACATCTTATCTTATTCAAAACAAAATCATAATCATTATCAGGTCAAAACTGGGATTCAAACCTACAATTCTTCATAGTGAACTGTGAACTGTGGGCAAAAATAGGGATCTTGTTGGCCCACTTCACCCTCAAGCAATAACACCACACTTGGAGCACCAATGACCACGACAGGACACCTGTGACATCACAGGGATGAAACTCACTTTATGAGCAAAATGACCGCCCAATTTACTGAATATTTTTCTCGACTGTTCGCTAGGAAGAAAAATGCATATACATTTCCTTCATTTCCAGAGCAAATGCCTGCAATACCATTCATTCCCCATTCAACATATACTACTCAAAAGATGTTAAGGAGCACCTGCTCCTTTCATATTATAGTTAATCTGTCGTGATTTACTTTTTTAATATGAAAGAATCAGGGGAAATGCAAGACAGGGCGACTATAGTCATATGAAAGAATTGGTCATCCTTAACTTCTTTTGAGCAGTATATGTCAGAGGTGAAATAAAACAAAACAGCACTTACCTCTTAAAGGTACTCCACTGTCTTTATCCTCTAAGCATATTGAAAGCTCCTGCAACAGAAATAACATCGTGAACGGGACATCATCTAAATCATGAACATTCTTGGCGAAGGGCAATATATGACGTAAAGTCCTCCACGTGCAGCACACATACAGGGAATATGACCCTCCAGACACACACATTTCTACATGCTTGCAATTACACATCATGGGCAGGTGCCCCTTCCTGAAAGTTCAAGTAGCAATGAAGAATGTTCCAGTACAATAAAGGTGACTCCCTCCCCTAGACTGTGTACATACCATGGCTGAGAGGGCAGGGAATTAGGGGAGGAATCGGATGAATGAGTCCCCCTTCAGTTGCTGAGGGTGGTCACACAGTAGGGAGGTAGCATACCCGGGTCGGGAGACAAAACAACCACTGTGGCAGCTTGCTTCCCCAATCACAGATACTGTTAGTATGTGTGGGTGATATAATCTTATATTCACTGCAGCCTGTGTTGTCTGCTTTCACTATGCCTTCTGGGTTAGTGGCCTGATGGGATTAAAATCTGCCTGCTGGTGTAACCAAATATTCCTCTTTGTCTGTCATGCTCTTACTGTTGCTTTGTTGTTAAATTGATACCATGGCACATATGTCCTTTGGTTAAGGGTAATTCTGCATACAAAATACATTCTCACAATTGGAAAAACAAAATCGGTGTCAAAAATTATCTCTAACATGTTTATAAAAAGAACCATCTTGTAGACAACGATTAGAATGATATGACATTGACTCTAGATTGGAATTTTTAAAAATATTTTTATCAAATGTAATTTGATATCTAATTCGTGACATAATGCTCAATATTTGCAAAGGACCACACATTTGACTAAAGATGACTATTTTGATCCTTATCCAATGTTGAGTAGTATATTCTAACAGTATTTGTCATCAAAGAATAAGTACCATGACATCAGCAATGTCATACTCAAGGTTTCGAATGAAACCATCCTTATCATGAAGTGTTACAATGACCCTGATATTGCGTATGGTGTCCGAGCGCTATCATGAAGTGTTACAATGACCCTGATATTGCGTATGGTGTCCGAGCGAGCACAACAGCTATGGTGGGTGTAAACACATCCATGCCGCTGTGTACAAGTTTGCTCAGAAGCCCAATTGATGAATCACCTCCTGTCTCACAGATCCGCACACTCATTCAGTACGAGGAGCAAATTGTCCATTCACCGAGAAATTCTCAATAGCCTCCCAAACGATAAAACTCCATTCACCTCAATCTGCGACTCCTTGCAGAATGTTTTTTTTATACTTTATAAACATTTGGGGAGGTGATGCTTTAAAAATACAAACATAATATGAGTCAGCCTTTGTTAATACTTAACATTAGGTAGTTCAACAAATGACAAATAACGACATGTTTAACAATTACTGTCCTTGATCTCATATATGTGCAGGAGGTGAGGTGGCCAAGCAGTTAAAGCATTTGCCCTCACACCAAGGTCTGGGTTCCATTTCCTGCAAGAGCACAATGTGTGAAACCCATTTCTGGTGCCCCCCCCCCCCGTCAACGTGACAATTGTGAAATAGTTCTAAAAGCTGTGTAAAACCTTAACTCACTCACTTTGGGATGTGCAGTTCACAACCAAACCCACTAATAGCAAAGTGGGTAACAAACGTTGGACGTTTCCTCATTTTCTTAACACCCTTACATCACCTTTCTCCTTAATAGCATATTTCATGTTACACACTTGAGATGGCAAACATTTGGTAACGATCAAATGACAGTAGCTAAAGTTAAGGCGACATGTAGAATTCCCAAGCTGCAACCTGACTACACGAATGTGATTTTAATTCATTATCTTGCCCCATGTAAATCAGTACCTGCTTATAAACATGTCGTAAACCACTTAACGTCCATGTCTGATGGGCGCATGTTTATACCCAGACTCAGAATCGTGTCCAAATGTTGTTAGCTGAAAGTCAGGCGCTCAAATTCCGATTTGCAAGTATGGCTGCACTTACTCTTGTAGAGTCATCAGTGAATACTCTGGACAGAAGCAATTTGCTTCCTTAGATTACAGCAATGACAGACGAAGAAGGTCTTTTCCCTGATCTAATAGGATGTCTTATCTAAAGCATGTGACATATAGAATGCAGAGAAGGTAGTGGATAATATGTTCCTTATTCCATTCCTCTCGATGAACAAACAAAATTTCAACTACAGGATGTTCTTATATACTGAACAAAATAAGTAAGGGATCATGAATAATTTGGGGATATTTCTTTTAAATTGTGTGTTCAGTCTTCAATGCCAAAATATATCCCAAAATATATTTAGGATCCCTAACTTTTTTTGTTCAGTATATATATCCACATTTATGCATGCAGATGCTTTTATAAATTTGAAAGAAGAAAAAAAGAATGCTCCTCTCGCATGTCTGAATATCAATCCAGAGTGAGTGAGTGAGTGAGTGAGTGAGTGAGTGAGTGAGTGAGTGAGTGAGTTGGTGAGTGAGTGAGTGAGTTGGTTTAGCAATCAGGTAGTTTGATCTCACACAGCATTTTACAATATTCCAGACATAACACATCGCCGATTAGAACCAGCGTCGTGTTGACAAACCAACACAATAACAACCATAAGCTGCACCAAAACTAAACATTTAGTCTCTAAAACGTTTATATTTTAAGATTTTGTTGTGTTATATTGTCTTTTGATAAAAAATACAAATACCCTGTAGGTTTCCTCATTTTCAGCCTGATACTGAAAGAATCTAGACTTCCCCATCTTTTGTAAACTTGTTTTTGGATACCACCACACAAGTGAGTGAGTATGGTTTTACGCCGTTTTTAGCAATATTCCAGTAATATCACGGCGGGGGACACCAGAAATGGGCTTCACACATTGTACCCATGTCGGGAATCGAACCCGGGTCTTCGGCGTGACGAGGGAACGCTTTAACCACTAGGCTACCCGACCGCCCCCACCACCACACAAAGTGGCAGCTACAAAATACAACACATCTGTACAAGTTACTGACACCTGATAAATTGTAAAAAAACAACAACATATCTAAAAACATCTCAAAGGTTTATATATAATATTTAGGGGGACGGTCGGGTAGCCTAGTGGTTAAAGCGTTTGCTCGTCACGCCGAAGACCCAGGTTCGATTCCCGACATGGGTACAATGTGTGAAGCCCATTTCTGGTGTCCCCCGCCGTGATATTGCTGGAATATTGCTAAAAGCGGCGTAAAACCATACTCACTCACTCACTTATATATAATATTTATACTTATGAATGAAAGGATCATTGACGTAAATAGACATTAGAGGGAGGCTTGTATCTATGCTTGCGTATGTATGGAGTAAGACCGTCACCGATTCAATATGGCCCTTGTCTAAATACCAACAAAGACGTAACCTCTCTTAGCCACAGAAAAATGTCAATATTTTCCATGCAATGTTTACATATGTTTCTCAATGTGCTCTTTCTGTAGCTGTTGAACCTCTGGGAATTAATCCTTGTGTATTGACTGAGCTTTGAGGTAGATAAACACAGATCTATTATCTCCCGGTGAACACCGTGCTCTCTTTACTCGCGGAACTAGTAACAGATAAACTCTGAAAAGGCTATCAATGTTTTGTTTGCCTTGAATAAAAAACTTAACTTTTTTCACATTTATCGAATTAAAATTGACACATACATATCCTGCTCAAAAGAAGTTACCTGGTGAAGAAAAAACAATTTTTTCCAAGGTCATAAGAAGTTAATGGACGGCGTCGTGGCATAACAGATTAACAATAGTAACGTGAAACAATCAGGTGTTCTTTAACCTCTTTTGAGTAGTTTATATTGTATACACAAGACATCAAGTGTCGGAGAGGAAACTATTGAAGTCAACTATGTAACATGCTTAATAATATATTGATAAAATATAAGTCATAATAACACCATACAATGACACCCTGCACTAGTGACACCATACCATGACACCCTGCACTAATGACACCATACCATGACACCCTGCACTAGTGACACCATACCATGACACCCTGCACTAATGACACCATACCATGACACCCTGCACTAATGACACCATACCATGACACCCTGCACTAGTGACACCATACCATGACACCCTGCACTAGTGACACCATACCATGACACCCTGCACTAATGATGCCATACAGTGATACTCTGCACTAATGACACCATGCAATGACACTTGCACTAATGACGCCATACAGTGATACTCTGCAGTAATGATACCATACAATGACACTTGCACTAATGACGCCATACAGTGATACTCTGCACTAATGACACCATACTATGACACCCTGCGGTAATGACATCATACAATGACTCCCTGCACTAATGACACCATACAATGACACCCTGCAATAATGACACCATACCATGACACCCTGCACTAATGACACCATACTACGAATCCCTGCGGTAATGACATCATACAATGACACCCTGCACTAATGACACCATACAATGACACCCTGCACTAGTGACACCATACCATGACTCCCTGCACTAATGACACCATACCATGACACCCTGCACTAATGACACCATAACAGGACACCCTGCACTAATGACACCATGCAATGACACCTTACAATGACACCCCTGCACTTATATTGACACCCCAACAATCATAACGGTCACACCTTTTATGCCTCTGTAACCAAAAAAATAATTCTTCATAACATTACAACGCCTCCGAAACTTACTCTTCCACAATATCCTGTTTCATAATTACAACAAATTACAAAAGATCTCCAGTTTAGAAATGGTCATCAATCTCTAACACGAAGCTGTTAACTAATGCTTACTTTAGCCTACAACCAAATGGGCGAAGGATAAAGTTAGGCATCTACACTAATTCCGAGATTGCCATAATCTTCAAGTGAACTGGTTAATGAAGTTTGCAGGCAGCAGACGACTTCCTTCTCTACATCAGAGAGGCTGCTGGGAACTCGGTGAGAGGTGTTAATGTGCCTGCTAAGAGCACTAAAAGAGGGCCCCAAAACA